GCTTACTGCAACCTCCACCTCCCGGGTTCGAGCGATTCATCTGCCTCAGCCTCCCGAGTAGCTGAGATTACAGTCATCCGCCACTACACCTGGCTAATTTTTGTATTTTAGTAGACACTGGGTTTCACCATGTTGAACAGGCTGGTCTCAAACTCCTGACCTCAGGTGATCCACCCGCCTTGGCCTCCCAAAGTGCTGGGATTATAGGCATGAGCCATTGCACCCAGCCACCTAATTGTATTTTAAGAAACAACTGCCAGGTTTGAGGAACAGTTCTAGATTTGTCAAACCTAGAAGTAGCTGTGATCCCCCTGCCTTTTTTTTTTTAGTATATTTTTTCCTACATTATTATTCATTCCTGTCCTCATTCTCATCTGTCCCATCAGAATGCCTTATCTAAATTATACCTATTCCTGCAAACAATTCATCCTCAATTCTTATTTCTTTAGCTCTTGGCCTAGTCCTATTAAGCTGCTTTGGGTAAGGTCTGCCAGAATGTCTTGTGGATGACTGATCATATAAGCAATTGTAATCTGTTTAGCAATTTGGATCCTAATTCCCTCCTGAGTGTCTGTTTTCCAGTGGTGCTTGGTTTAAAACCAGTTAATGAGGGTAGAGCAATTTTACAAAAGGTCTTCTTTAGCTTTTTCTGTATATCTCCCCCGTTTAAGGGGATATACCATTTCTTTTTTGTTTTGTTTTGTTTTAATGAACAAATGGTTAGCTATGCATAACAAGGGATATACAATTTCTTAGAGAAAATTTAACAAGTGTTATTTAGCATCTCCAGGTTTCAGTATTCATCCTAGATGCTTATTTTATTCTCTTTTACAGCATTATACTCTTGTTTTAGTATTCTGAGTCTGAAATTAACATTTAGTGACTAGGTCTTTCCTTTGCCTGACATATCAACAGATGACAGACATATACTTTGAGCTTCTCATTTTGAAAATCAGTTCAATATCTTACCTAGCAGCAGAGTTGGGATTGCATAATAAGAGATAATCTTTTTTTTTTTTTTTTTAAACAGTTTCACTCTGTTGCCTAGGCTGGAGTACAGTGGCACAATGTTGGCTCGCTGCAACCTCTACCTCCCAGATTCAAGCAGTTCTCCTGCCTCAGCCTCCCAAGTAGCTGGGACTACAGGCACGCACCACCATGCCTGGCTATTTTTGTATTCTTAGTAGAGATGGGGTTTCGCCATGTTGGCCAGGCTGGTCTCAAACTCCTGACCTCAGATGAGCTACTGCACCTGGCCTAATAACCTTTAAAAAAGTACCAGCCGGACGTGGTGATCACACCTGTAATCTTAGCACTTTGGGAGGTGAAATGGGTGGGAGTTCCTCCTGAAGTGGGAGGAACGCTTGAGGCCAGGAGTTCAGGACCAGCCTAGCAACGTAGCAAGACCCTGTCTCTACAAAAACTTTTAAAATTAGCTGGGCATTCTGGCATGCACCTGTAGTCCCAGCTACTCAGGAGACTGTATTGGGAGGATTGCTTGAGCCTAGGAGTTTCAGGTTGCAGTGAGCTATGATCACACCACTGCACTTGAGCATAGGCAACAAAGTAAAACCCGTCTAAAAACAAACAAACAAACAAAAAAACCAAAGTAAATAAATATTGAAAATAAAGTTAGGCCAGGCATGGTAGCTCACACCTGTAATCCCAGCACTTGGGGAGGCTGAGGCAGGCGAATCATCTGAGTTTGGGAGTTCAAGACCAGCCTGGCCAACATGGTGAAACCCCATCTCTACTAAAAAATACAGATTAGCCAGGCGTGGTGGCACAAGCCTGTAGTCCCAGCTGCTCGGGAGGCTGAGGCAGGAGAATTGCTTGACACCGGGAGGCAGAGGTTGCAGTGGGCCGAGATCATGCCACTGCACTCCATCCTGTGTATCAGAGTAAGACTCCATGTCAAAAATAAATAAAATAGCCGGGCGCGGTGGCTCAAGCCTGTAATCCCAGCACTTTGGGAGGCTGAGGCGGGTGGATCACGAGGTCAAGAGATCGAGACCATCCTGGTCAACATG